ATTTTGACCCTCCCAAGACTACCTATTGTCCACTTTGACCCTCCCAAGACCATCTATTGTCCATTTTGACCCTCCCAAGACTACCTATTGTCCACTTTGACTCTCCCAAGCCAATCTATTGTCTTCTTTGACCCTCCCAAGACTACATATTGTCCACTTTGACCCTCCCAAGACTATCTATTGTCTACTTTGACCCTCCCAAGACTATCTATTGTCCACTTTGACCTTCCCAAGACTACCTATTGTCTACTTTGACCCTCCCAAGACTACCTATTATCCACTGTGACCCTCTCAAGACTACCTATTGTCCACCTTGACCCTCCCAAGACTACCTATTGTCCACTTTGACTCTTCCAAACCAACCTATTGTCTTCTTTGACCCTCCCAAGACTACCTATTGTCCACTTTGACCCTCCCAAGACTACCTGTTGTTCACTTTGACCCTCTCAAGACTACCTATTGTCCACCTTGACCCTCCCAAGACTACCTATTGTCCACTTTGACCCTTCCAAGCCAACCTATTGTCTTCTTTGACCCTCCCAAGACTACCTATTGTCCACTTTGACCCTCCCAAGACTACCTGTTGTCCACTTTGACCCTCCCAAGCCAATCTATTGTCTTCTTTGACCCTCCCAAGACTACCTATTGTCCGCTTTGACCCTCCCAAGACTATCTATTGTCCACTTTGACCCTCCCAAGACTATCTATTGTCCATTTTGACCTTCCCAAAACTACCTATTGTCTACTTTGACCCTCCCAAGACTACCTATTATCCACTGTGACCCTCCCAAGCCAATCTATTGTCAAGCATTCAGGCTTGTAGTTTTCAAGAAGAAGTCGAAAAAGTAAAACATTGACACGGACGACGACGACGGACAATCACTCATATGATAAGCTCCGCTCGACAAAGTCGACAGCGGAGCTAAAAAAACATTCCTCTATATATGTCTCACTTTACCAGAACCAAAAATGTAAAAATTGCGTAAAACAAGTATTGTTAGGAGTCAAAGTGGTAAGGGGGTGAAAAGTTTGGGACCAAATTTGGGAATGACATAATATGGGTTAAAGATGCAATATGGACAAGAACATGTCATTGTATTGTTGTTTGATAGTGTATACTGACAAATAGATACATCTGATTACAACCGTAAACGCTGTTTTTGTAGCACACACATTCAATAAAACAGTGATATTCTTTAACATGCATGTGCACTCCTTGTTTTGCCTGCACATGCATATTAGTGGTTTTTATTTTTCATCTAATAATAAACCTTTTTAGTTTATGATAAATCATGATTTGTCTACGATATGGAGTGTCGAACAACAATATTAAAAACTAGATTGGACCCACAGACTATTAACGTGGGTAGCATCTAGATTGGACCTACAGACTATTAACATGGAACCCATCTAGATTGGACCCGCAGACTACTAACATGGGACAAATCTAGATTGGACCCTCAGACTATTGACACAGGACACATCTAGATTGGACCTGCAGACTATTGACGTGGGACACATCTAGATTGGACCTGCAGACTATTGATGTGGGACACATCTAGATTGGACCTGCAGACTATTGACGTGGGACACATCTAGATTGGACCTGCAGACTATTGATGTGGGACACATCTAGATTGGACCTGCAGACTATTGATGTGGGACACATCTAGATTGGACCCTCAGACTATTGACGTGGGACACATCTAGATTGGACCTGCAGACTATTGATGTGGGACACATCTAGATTGGACCCACAGACTATTAACGTGGGACACATCTAGATTGGACCTGCAGGCTATTGACGTGGAACACATCTAGATTGGACCTGCAGACTATTGATGTGGGACACATCTAGATTGGACCTGCAGACTATTGATGTGGGACACATCTAGATTGGACCCACAGACTATTAACGTGGGACACATCTAGATTGGACCTGCAGGCTATTGACGTGGAACACATCTAGATTGGACCCAT